TTAGAGTTCATTGGTTTAAGAGCAGCGATTACGCGAATGCTATTAACACTTGGTGAATCAATTTTAAAAGGCGTTTATAAAGTATAATTATGTTCCGAGCCATTATATTATTTAAAAAGTAAATTTTATAATTCATTATACAATTGTGAACATTTTGATAAACTTGAAACAACGCTGACATCTTGCTCTCTTTAGTAACATTTGCATTCTCTCTTGGAATGCGTTTATTCTCTTGTGCCACCTTCACCAAATTTCCTTGTTCTTCACCTCTATTATCATTTCCCCGTTATTTCCTCGTTGTTGTGAAGACTTATTATACTCCGTTATTTTCATCTTCTCTCCAGTCTTATTTGGTCGTCATAATTTGACAGCTGCCGTCCTGCGCGTACCGTGTTACTGTCAACTTTTTTCCCGCGTCTAAAGCGAACGCTCCGCTGTTCCCTTCTCCCTAATTCTGTCGACGACTAATTTCTTCTTTTCCGCAGACGTCCACCCTCTGCTAAAAACCCGCAGACCTTCGGCATTTAATTTTAACTTTATTCTACTCTAATTAGACGTACCCCGACATTTTAGAGGTACCTTTTTGTCATTTCAAGTTTGTGTTAATTTACTCTAATTAGCGTGCTAAATGTACCGGCTCGTTCTTCATTTTAAAAACAAACTTTCTTACTTGACTTCATATTCGACGTTGATTCATATAAAACAAATATTATTCTGATTTCAATAATTTAACATTTATATATGACCTAATTTAATTTATTTTTCTAAAAGAACATTTTTAACTTTTTAATTCCACTTCTTCAGGAATTGAGTTCTAATGCATATTTTCTCTTCCCAAAAGAAAATAGCCATATGGCGGGAAATAATGTTTCGTACATTTTCTATCCAAAAAAATTGGAAATTTTGTGGAGACTGACTCTTTAAAGGTTTGCCTTGTTCCTGTATATGACATGTGCACATTGTCTTGTGTGTTTTTAATTAACTAGAAAAGAATTTGTTATTGCTCTTTAAAATGTACAGAACCTTTAAACACCAGAAAACATCTTCCCTTAATAAATTTTAAATACTTAAATTTTTTGCGTGAAGTCATGTAGTTGGAGTGACCCGGACACTCCAAGAGACTCGTCTTCATTCTTTGTTGCGAAGTACTCCCGATCGTAACTTGTGAAGAGTGTGTTTTCAATTATTCAATGTTTATTTTTTTAAGTTAAAATATAAATAACGTTTACGTTTCGTTTTCGTTTATTAAGCGGTGCAAGTTTCATATAAAACTCTACAATTAATTAAAATAGTATATTTGTCATTTCAATAAACTCAATTACTTGAAAATTAGGCAATAAATAGTTCTTAGTTATTCTTCATACCATAATTTTTGACACGTGTTATATTATCTATGTGGTAAAATAAATAATTACACAAATTACTGGTTAATATCAAGGTACACCTCTTCCACGAATATTGCTTGACTACGGAACCCGCTATACAATATTGTACAGTGCCGATTTCTCGTACGATATGTGTGACTAGTACTTTCAAAAAATGTTACTGTACCTCTATACACAAGAAGAAATGTTACTTCTTTGACCAGGAGGCGAATAGCTGAACTTCTTTTGGGAGAAATACTCATGTTCGCATTGAATAACGTTGCCTAAGACGATACAACGCATGTACTCTCATAAAGCTCATAAAATTACAGCAGAATCTCTTTTCTCAACGTCTTTTTAATATACTATAATTAGGGTTTTTGTTGACATATGTGGAAAACACGAGAATAAAGAGGAAAATGTCAAGACAAAAACACAAATTCTTATCACAGTAAATTCAAAGGTTTGAAACTTAAATCGCTTGTATTACTTCCAGCAAGAAATGTCCACCCACAACTACGTAAGTTATCTTTCTATTTTCTGTCACATCATCTTCTGCTTCGATGTTTTAAATTCTCATCAAGAGATAACTTTTTTAAAAAAATTGATGTTAGTTCTTTTTTTCCTGTGATTGTGTGAAAACGTATTTTTAGACATATTTGATCATTTTCTTTCTTTTTTTAATCTCTTCCTTGTGTGTATATTTACCAGATATTCGCGTTAAAAAATTAATGACTAGATGGAGTATCTCCCGTTATCTGAATATTTATTTACCACAGTCGCCTAATAATTCCAATTTGAAATACTAGGAATTAATTCTATTTATAGTGGTGTATCTCTGCACTGCCCTGTCATGCCCAGTCCCAAGGATCTCACATGCCCAGCTTCATCCTGCACCTCCTCACCGTACTCACCTACCTCATCGCTGCCTCTCGCCCTGTCCCCCGGCCGCGCCACGCCACCTCCGTGAGCCTCACTGCCCGGCCCATCCAGAAAATATTCTAAAAACAAATGAATGGGTTTTATGTTGTGTAAATTACTAAACCTGTATTTAAAAGCATTAGTTATTATGAGTGTTTGTTATATACCACGTTTTTGCACCACCAATATTGGTACATGATACCCCCAACCTCCCTATCTTTCGCCGCCTATCTTTCCCTCCTCATACAATTTTTCTGTCCCCGCATTTGTGGAAGGCGCCTCCTTGTGTTAACATGCTTCGCCGTTTGCTACTAAAAAAACTCGTTAATGGAGAATAAAATGGAAACAAGACAAATCAACCATATGATGCAGATATAGTCAAATGTTTATAAAATCTCGAGCCTGTTTTGCTCAGTTTCAATTGTTACCAAAGTTCTGAAGATGGAGTCAATCGTCTTCCAAAACGTAATAAAAGACTTGTTGAAGTGAAGTTCTTGTTGTGTTTATTTGGTATGTGAAGTTGCATTTCTAATATATGGTGATTGTCGAATGGACCTAGCGTGGTGTATAAGACATTGACAATTCAAAATACAATCTGTATCATAAATAATACATGATCGATTATATCAGTTCTTTTGAAATCATGGGCCGATACTCCAATTTTATTAGTAGAGATATCGGGAAGTATTGATTTAGAAAAATATTTTTTATCATACATGTCGCTAGGGCTAAAACGTGGGAATGTTTATTTACCATAGAGGTTCCCAACAGGCACGATGTCGACATCGACCCGATGGGGATCGATGAAAATTTGAAGGTGGTCAATGATGATCAAGAGGTTGATTGGGGGTCAATAGCCGAATATGAACCAACGCCTTATCAGTATAATCAAGATTGTGTTGATTACAAAAATATGAATTAATTAATTTTTTACTTATATAAAGCAACAAAAGTTTAATAACAAATTCCAAATTTGCTCCTCTTCTGTCGTATCGATCTTTCATCCTCAGAAATTAAGGAACTAGGATGTTTGGGACACTCAAGTATTTATGACTGCGTTGGCAGCGGTACTCTATCGCGCATTAATGTACTGAAAAAATACGCACAGGAAAAATATTATGACTAATTGCCAAAAAACACTCATCTTTTGTAATTATTGCATTTCAATGGAGATTTTAAACTCTGCTTTTCCAAGACTAAAACGTCTTCGATAATTAATAAATCAAGATATATCCAAGAATACTGGGGTAAGAAATTGTTCTCTTTAATGCATTTATGTACATTTCTTTGTGTCATGATTATGAGTGCTGTATATTACAGAGGAAACAGGAGTCGATGAAGCAAACTTTTTTTAAAAGGGTTCGATGAAAAAAAACAGGTTGATATTCTCAATTCACAAGCACAGCCAGACAAAAAGGCATTCAGTTCCGATCGTTCTCGGCGCCGAGGTCAGCGTGCAGATACCTCTGTGCCCGATAATGCTATTTCCGGCTCTCCAGTTATCGAGAAATAACCACGCCGACACTGTTAGATCTGTTTCCGAAGTGCCCTGCGCGTCGGCGGACGAAAAAGCAACGATGGATAACGAACGTTGGAGACGTCGCTGAATCTCCTGACACAGTTTATTTATCAAGTGTTTCTATTTAACATCTTAATCGCATTATTTATTCCATTTTCACTCGCGGGAGTTGCTGAACAATGGGTACAAAGCGTATCTAGTATGGCGTGATCTAGACGAAATTTGTATTAACGTATTTTGTAAGAGAACTCATGGTCTTTTTTACAAGCAAAACATACCGAAATTACATACATTGCTCGCCGATACTACCGTGAACAGCCGAGAATAAGCGGTATCAACAGTTAAAATTTTTGACGGAAAAGTACTCATAGATTTTACGGAAAAATAAAGAGTATGCTCGCCCTCCGAGACTGCGAAGAAAAGCCAGCGAGACTATCAATAAGAGAATGCATTTTGTCCGGCACTATTTGCAATCGTTCAATGGAAGACTAGTGTTCAACTACATAATGGTACTCTGATAGCCTTTCACTTTACTTAAATTCATTTCTTAACTTTTTATTACGTTATTTTATGACGATCCACTCTTCTATTTCCGACTTCTCTAAAAAACACTCACATTTTTTTCGTTCACTTTCATTATATCATTTAATTTTTTACGGATTACGCATGAGTCTGTTGCATTTTGAAACTTTTGATTAAATCCGTCACTTTTAAAAGTATTTTTGACTCCTATTGATCAAATTTTCTCAATACAAACACATTTTAAACATATCTTACTTATTTGTGAAGTACTTTCAGGCAATTGTTTCAAGGCGTAAAGTGATGGCTGGTAAAAAGAGTTTCCACAAACGTAGCCAGAGGTAATGCTTTAGTTTGCGTCCGTCGTTCAGAAGAAGTTTTTTTTCTTTATTTTTCCAAAAATGACTTGAATTGACTTGAATGGAATGGAATCGAATTGAATTGATGTCTTATTTTACGTGGCGAGACTCAGGCCATCAGACCACGCAAATTTCGCTACGCTCCTTTCACCAACTAGCGGAGAAAGCAGATATTTCTTGAGCGACAAAACTTGCGATTCGTCGCTCAAGAAATACCTCCTTTGCCCTCTAGTTGGTGAAGTGCGGAACTGGTGACTTGCGTGTGTAAGGGAGCGCTTGCGAGGAGCGCGTTGCGAGTGCGCGCCGTGCTTTGCCCAGGTGTGCCTGAAGCTGGGCTGGAAGAGCCAGCGCACCCGCTGGGACGTGCTGCCGCTCGTGCTGTCGGCGAACGGCCACGACCCGGACTACTTCGACATCCCGCCGGAGCTGATTCTGCGCATCCCGCTCACCCACCCCACGTGAGTGTCGCCTCTGCGCCGCTTTTCATCTTCACTTGTTGATTCGCCTTCCTCAGGGCTAATGCGACGACCTGAGAAAATACGAAAGAAATGTTTGATGAGAAACGATCTGAACAGCCATTCAAATGCACCAGATTTCTTTTTACTGGGCTGGATCAGAAAAAACGTACAGATTGCATTGTTTAAAATTAGTATCTTTGAAATTTTAGAATTAATTCCTGCACTTACTATGAATTTATTAAGCATTATATAGGATGCCATTCTTACAACAAAACATTTACAACTTTTCATACGCGCATATTGAAATCACCTTAATATCCATAATTCAATAATTTGGTATTAAAATAATACTTATCAGCAAGAATAGTTTGACGTTGCAGCAAGATTTTTTTTAAATATAAATGATTAGAGAAGACTTTTTCAATAATTTTTCAGTGTTAAACCGATTCCTATAACGTTTGCATTTCCAACAACATTGTAAGAGCCATATGTCAGGAAAAGCTGAAAGAATAATTTATGTGTAAACTCACTTATATGCATTGTTTCTAATCGCCACTTAAACATAATTTTCATGCCCATTTTACATATTTATTGCACGTTCGGATGTTGTTAGCATAGTGAAGAGTTTTGTAGCGACTATTAGACTGGCCTGTTACTTTTTGGTATTGATTTTTATGCTGCCATTTCACAAATTTGTTTTCAAAATTGCTAAATAATAAAAGCTGTGGAACGTAAAAAAATAATTTTCATGGAACTATTAACATGAAAATGAAAAGTCTGACGTAACAGCAATTTAATAGAGAAATCAAGAATATTTATTTACATATTTTATTAGATCAGCTATATCTACAGTATGTCAAAGAGATAGTCATTTCTATTTCAAAAGTTAAAAAAACATGTAGATTTTTCGTAGGTTATCCATGCACTATCATGCACTAAATGGATTATAAATTAATTACTATCATTGTTATTGAAAATAAACAACAGACAAATAATAATGACTCAAGGCAAAATTACGAAGATTAGTACTTGTTAAGATTTAGTAATACATATTGTTGTATAAAATTAGGAATATCAAATATTCTGCAAGAAAAACCTAATTTTTAATAAATATAATAATTTCTAATAAACCTAAACTACATCTCACATTTAAGAAAACCGAACATTCGTAATACTTCCTCCCACAGGTAATTAATGTCTATATGTAACATCAGAGTCCATCCGTGTCTGTCAATCTAATATCAGTGACCTCATATTCTCGCCTGTTACCTCTGCCCTCGCCACGCCCGACCACCGCGTCCACCCAGCACCCAGACACCTTGTGGTTCACCGGCGCGCGCAGCGGCGCCGGTCTCTGTGTCCACCGCCGCTCCGCCGCCAGCCCAATTAGCGAAACGCGAGGCAGCTAACGCAATTGGTGCCGCGACGCTGCCTCCGACACCGCGGAACCGCCACCGCCACCGCACC